GGCTGCCTTTCTGTTAGACCGCACTCAGCAGCAGTGTTACCAGGTTGGGTGTCTTGCTTAGGTTCTTGCTGTTCTAAACAAAGAATGGAGCCGGACGACCAGGAGGGGCAGTAAGATTAAAGATTTATTTGAAAGAGAAAAAACAAGATCCACCCCAAAGGACGAGAACTGGCTAATGAAAAGAGCTCACAGCACCCAAGTTCTTGGTGTTGAGGGTTTTAAGTCTTAGGCTTTGAGGTGGGATAGAGGGGTTGGTCTGAGAGGAACTGTCTGGCATCCAGAGTCCACAGGGGTGTCAAATCTGCATAGTCAGTGACATGATAATTAGGGTTAGAGTGGCCAAGGGCACAAAATTGTGTATAAACTAAGTTAACAGGTTACCTTTTCCCATTGTGTTTAGACCAGGGCATCCTGGTCCTGGGCTGAGTTTTGTTTTTGTTTTTGTTTTTTTTTTTTTTTTTTGGTTTTTTTGAGACAGTGTCTCACTATGCAGTTCAAACTGGCCTTGAAGGGCTGGGGATTTAGCTCGGTGGCACAGCGCCTGCCTGGCAAGCATGAGGTCGTGAGTTCGATTCCTGGTACCAGAAAAACAAAACAAAACAAAAAAAAACTGCCCTTGAGCTCACTTTGTAGCCTAGGCTGGTCTTGAACTCACAATGATCCTCCTGCCTCAGCCTCTCGAATGCTAGGATTACAGACATGCACCACCACACCTGGCTCTGGGCTGATTTTTAACTCAAAAGGTGGATCCAGTCTCAGAAAGCAGGCTTCAAGGTGGCCCTCTCTTCTGTCCCACATGTTTCCTTTGTTACCTTATATTTCAGATCTAGCCCAGAAAGCAAGCTCTAGAGTGGGCCTGCCCTCCATTCTCTCTCCAGTCTTTTCCTTAGCTACCTCGTGCCTCAGAAATTGGAAAGAATAAGTATAATCAAAGCAAGGGAGAGTATTTTGAAGGAGACTCCTGGCAAAGTGTGTTTTAAATTTAAACGTTTTTAACATTTCAGTATTTACTTGTTGATCACACCTGATAGGGTGGCGAGCCATGTTAGTCTTCTCTTTAGAACTTGCTTCCTATTGACCATCAATTGTAGTCTTTTTTTTTCCTTTGTCTTGTAATTTCAGTGTTCTGGCGGGATTCACTCAGGTGCTCATTTGCACACTGAACAGTACAAACCTTGGGAGTGCTTGCTAAGTGCCTAGAGCTGTTCTAAACACTAGAGATGGAGGGGAAAATAAAATGGACAAAAACTTGCCAGCACAAAAGTGACACTATAGTGTAATCTCCTACTTAGGAGTATGATCTGCCACCTTCCTTTTGAGGGAAAAAAATTTTTTTTTGGTGGTACTGGGGATTGAACCTAGGGCCTTTGCATTGAACTACATATCCAGCTCTGTTTTAAAAAATATTTTTAAAAAGGGTCTTGCTATGCTATGCTTCCTAGGCAAGAATCAAATTTATTATCCTCCTGCCTCAGCCTCTCAGAGGACTGGCATTACAGACATGTGCCACCACACCTGGCCACTTCTGCCTTTAATAAGCCCTTTTCTCCAGCAGTCCAAGCCCCAGTAATTACTTCTCATTTTCTTAACCCCCTTTTCTTTCATCTCCCACTTGGGTAATTTGTAAATCTGTAGTTTACTCTCTTGTTTTGTTATACCACTCCATTGTAAGCACCTTAGAGGTAGATGCAGTATTTCCTACTTGCATTAGTTTGCTTGGGCCACCATTACAAGTAAGAGAGACAAGATGGCTTAAACATTTTCTCATTGTTTCAGAGGCTCAAAGCCTGAGATAGAATAAGTGACACTTTAGTTTACGTCCCGGGCTCACATCTTGGCTTGTGAATGGCAGTCTTCTTGCTGTGATTTCACATGGCCTTTCTTTTCTGTGCAGGGATAGCAAGAGCGCTTTTGTGTTTCTTGTAAGGAAACTGCATGGTGCTTTTGGATCAGGGCCCACCTCCACTGCTGCTTCTCTTCTGAAGGCCCCGGCTCCAGATAGTCATTTTTGAGGTCAGAGCTTCAGCAGAGGAAATTCCGTCCATCACAGCACTTTCATAAATTTTCCCTCTGTCAGACCCAGAATAGTAATATGTACACAATAGGATCCTAAATAATTATTAGTTTAAGAAATATATGAAAAAAGAAGTTTCAGAGATTAGAAATGGAAAAGAAAAGCAGAAAGAGCTGTCAGCTTTCTCAGAGAACACTAGATGAGCTCCCTTGTATTGCTCTGTGCTCTGCAGGCCCCTGCTTCTTGCCAAGCTCCCTCCACCTGCTTCAATCCCTCTGATTAAGAGAGGCAGCAGCAGGTGCGCCAGAGTCAGGTCAGGCTCCTGCCAAGGCCCACCCTCCCAGCTTCCTCACTTGGGCTCATGGAAGTTCCTGTGTCTCAGTTGGCATGCTACACCTCAGAAAGGTGAACTCCAGGCTTGACAGCTATGTTCTTGCTGGCTGTGTTACCAGTGGATAAGCCCTTTTTCAGACAGTGACTCAGTTTATCAGAGTATTATGACATGATGAAAGTTGATCAAACCCTTTTAAAAAGAGTAGGCAGTACTGCAGAAAAATTTCATCCCTTCTGACTCTTAACTCACTTGTGAACCTTTTATGCTAGGAATACATGATAATAGGAAGAGATTATGACATTTTTGACAGTGCTAACCCTTGGGGAACAGCAGAAATCTTTTTTTTTGGTACCAGGAATCTAACTCATGGCCTCCTGCTTGCCAGGCAAGCACTTATGCTGCTGAGAGCTACATCCCCGGCTCCAAACAGCAGAAATCTTAATACTGGCAGAATGGTAGGTAGGTAACTTACAATGAATTCATTAGTGGTATAGTATGTACCTGTTAAATGATCATCTGAAGATTAAATAACAATGTAGAAAAATAATTATAAAATAGTAAGTGAGGAGGCTAAGAAGATGTTGGTCAAAGGATAAAAAATTTCACATGGCCTACGGTAATAAATTGAGGCTATCCATTGTATAACATGTTAATTATAGTTAATAACAGTGTATTATATACTTGGAAATGCTAAGCAGATTTTTAAATGTTCTCACCATAAAAAATGGTTAAATATGAGAGGTAATGGATATGCTAATTAACTTAACATTTCACATTATATACATAAATCAAGACATGTTGTTTACCATGATATACAGCTTTTATTTGTCAATTGAAAAAGTTAAGCGAAGAAGTGGAATGTAAAATTGTTCTACTGTACATTTAATTATGCAACAATATGCATTTCATTAAGTCTGAAAAGGAAAAATGGTAAAAAGAAAATTAGTCATTTCTTATTATTACGGAGTTATCTACCTACCTCTTTTTTTTTTTTTTTTTTTTTTTTTGGTAGAACTAGGGAACTGAGGGCCTTTGTACTGAACTATAATCCCTGCTCTTTTTTATTTTGGGGCAGGGTTAGGGACTCAAACTCAGGACCTCACACTTGCCAGGCAGGCACTGTGCCACTGAGCTGTATCCCTAGTCTGCCTCTTTTTTATTTTGAGACAAAGTATCACTGAGGTGTCCAAGCTGGACTTGAACTTTTTTTTTTTTTAAAGGGAGATGGGTGTATTGGGTTTTTTGTTTTTTTTTTTTTTTTTGGTTTTTCTACAGTACCGGGAACCGAACTCACAACCTTGCGCTTGCCAGGCACACGCTTTGCCACTGAGCTAAATCCCCAGCTGGGCTTGAACTTGATAATACTTCTGTTTCAGCCTTCTAGTGTGTTGGGATTATAGGCATGTGCCATCCAGTCTGCACCTTTTGGTTTTTGGTAATTCAACTCCTTCTAGGTTTTAGGTTACCTATGTGTGCAGAGTTCCATGATGAAGCCAGTTTGGAAATTCCTGTTCATTCCTGATAGGTGGTTTCAAGTCTCGGCTCCTCTTGGTTGTACTGTCTCCCACTCTTTGCCATCCTTTGGTGGATTACTGTTATGCCAATCATGCCAATCAAGATCCTGTCTAGAGTTCCTTGTCATGCACTAACTAACTCTCTTCCCCAATGGAGCCTCCCAGTTTCACCCAGTGGATTCAGCTGGTGAAAGTGGCAGCATTCTGAAAAGAGACAGATAAACTGGCACATGAAGTTGGCTCCTACTGCAGAGTACTCCTTGTAGTGCAGGCTCTGGTGTGACTAGGCTTCCACACTGGAAGAATTGTGTTACCATTTATCAAACAGGGCTTCAATGCAAAGAAGTAGGATAGGCTGGGGTCTAATACTTGGACCTATACCAAAAGATGAACTTAGTCATACCCTAAGAGAGAATCCCAGTTGTTATCCCATGAAACAATTTTTGAGTACCTACTAGGTGCCAGCCACTCTATCAGTATTACTAAGAAAAGAGGTCAGCAAGAACTAAAAGCCAAACTGATCTGAAAATGAGTCATTTCAGATACTGACCTAAGAATCATTCATTTTCCTTTTAGGGGACCAAATTATAGTGGAGCTCAGCATTGGGGGTGCTATAGTTCCTATTCTGGGAGTGGAGCAAGAAGAATCCAGGGTGGATTTTATACTATTCATTGCCTTTTCTAAGGATAAACCTATTAGGCTCTTATCAGCCCCTTTCCATAATCTTTTACCTTGACCTTTATGTCTGACTTGACTTCTTTCATCTTTCTGATCAGTTCCTGTGTCTTTGAAACCTCCCATAAAATACCCCATGGTCTACCACGTCTAGCTGTCCATGTGTAATTCTCCTTCCCCTAGCACAGAGAGCGAATAGTGACTTGTTCAATTTATGTTTCTCCTGTCAGATGGTGAAACTGGGACTGAGGAAATGTTGATTTCATAGCATCATTCCTGAAGCCCAGAGAGACTATTGGAATGCACCAAGCAGGAGAAAATGAGGAGAAAGACGAGAAACTTCAAACATAAGGCAGTTAAGGACAACAAAGCACACACTGTTGTCAGTGACCAAGAATCTGTAAAAGATGTTAGTCAGTGCTATGAACCTGAAACAAATGAGAGAGTTGCAACTGATAGGAGACAATATGTATGCAGTGAGTGCGGGAAAGCCTTCAGTCAGAGCGCCAACCTCACAGTGCATGAGCGAATCCACACTGGAGAGAAACCCTACAAGTGCAAAGAGTGTGGGAAAGCCTTTAGTCACAGCTCCAACCTCGTGGTTCATCGGAGAATCCACACTGGACTGAAGCCCTACGCATGTAGTGAATGTGGAAAATCTTTCAGTGGAAAGTCCCACCTCATCCGGCACCAGGGAATCCACAGTGGAGAGAAGATGTATGAATGTAAGGAATGTGGGAAAGCCTTTAGTCGGAGCTCAGGGCTCATTTCCCACCACAGAGTTCACACTGGAGAGAAGCCCTACACTTGTACTGAGTGTGGGAAAGCCTTTAGCCGGAGTTCAAACCTCACTCAACATCAGAGAATGCACAAAGGGAAAAAAGTTTACAAATGTAAGGAGTGCGGGAAGACATGTGGTTCTAATACAAAGATAATGGACCATCAGAGAATTCACACTGGGGAGAAGCCCTTTGAATGTGACGAGTGTGGCAAAGCTTTCATCTTAAGTAAGACTCTTCATGAACACCAGAGACTTCATCGTAGAGAGAAACCTTACAAATGTAGTGAGTGTGGGAAAGCCTTTACTTCTAATCGAAATCTCATTGATCACCAGAGAGTCCACACTGGAGAGAAACCTTATAAATGCAATGAATGTGGGAAAACTTTCAGGCAGACTTCTCAAGTTATTCTACATTTAAGAACTCACACTAAGGAGAAACCCTATAAGTGCATTGAATGTGGGAAAGCCTATCGTTACAGCTCACAGCTTATTCAACATCAGAGAAAACATAATGAGGAGAAAGAAACCTCATAAGTAACAAATATTGTTGGTAATAGGGCTACTTGTTACTTTAATGAAAAGCAAGTAGTATCGGTAACCTTCATTCTGCTTCCAAGAATCTATACAGAAAAAATAATAAGTAGATGAAGTTAACAAAAGGAATATTCTACAAGGATGCTCTTTCATATATAACTGAGATAGAAAAAAAATCTAGATTTTTCAACAGTACAGGGTTAAACAAATGATGTTCTATCCAGAAAATGTTTCTGCAACACTGTAAAAAGTTTTACAGAATAATTAACCTGGGCTACTCTGGAGTCTGAGGTGGGAGGATTGTAAGTTTGAAGGTACCCTGACCGGTGTAGTGAGACCCCCATCTCAAAAAATATATATAATGTTATGGAGAAATGTCTGGATTAAGTGGAGGAAAAACAATGGCATATCTAATTTTTAAAAAAAATGCCTAGAAAAAAGGGCAAGGAAGGAAACTACACCAAAATATTAACGATGATTACCTCTGAGTGACAGTATTATAGATGGTTTCTATTTATAGTTTTATATGCTTTCCAGATTTTTCTACAGTGGGAATGTACTACTTTTATATTTAGGAAAAAAAAGTATGGTATTTTTAAAATGCAGTGAGCTCATGCTCATTTTCATTGAACACAACTAGGAAAGGCTCGCAGTATATAGAGTTGAAGGTCTTGGAATTAAACCTAATCTGGCATTTAGAAGTGGACCCATGCCCTTTTGTTTTGTTTTTTTCAGTACTGGGAATTGAACTCATGACCTTGCGCTTGCTAGGCAGGCGCTGTGCCACTGAGCTAAATCCCCAGCCCCAAAGTTAATTGTTTTAAAGCCTCTTTCATGTTAGTAAACCCATCAACACCAATCCATTGTCTTTTGCAGTTTTAAATTGACTTTAGAGTTGTCAACAAAGTATATAATTACTGTTGTGTTAAAAGAACACAGCAAAAATTTAGAGCCTCTTTCAGTAGTGGAAAGATCTGTAAATGATGGAGAACTACCTAGGCTCCATCTTTTTAGTATATATTTAGACAACTTGAAAAAACACCCTCAGGAAGTTGAAATAATTGTAGGTGCAAAAACCTGAAAAAGCTATAGTTACCATTAAGTAAAACTGGTAGAATTTGCCTTCGCATGTTATGTAAAGCTTGGTAGGTAAAAGTGTAGACTGTGGAGTTGGAGAGATCTGTGTTCCAATCCCAAGTATGCAGTTATAGCTTGTCAATTTTGGACAAATCACTAACCTGCTGTGAACCTCAGCTTTTTCTGTCAAAGGGGAATAATTATCTACCTCACAGAGTTCCTTCGAGGATTAAGATAATAAAAATTGTATATGGCAAGCCTGACACATGGCAGATCATAATAACTCAAATATAAGACACGGAAACAGTGTTTCTCAATGCTTTAGAGGGAGAGCAATACAAGGGAAATTGTCTCACAGGTAGCATTCAGGATATTTTCAGGTGTAGTGAATGACTACTAAGTAGTAATTGCTTTGACCTTAAGAACACTGGCTGTCCCGTTAGGCAGAAGTCTAGAAGGAACCAGTTCCAAATGTGCTTTGGTAACTTCGCAGTTCCTCAAACTTCCAACATAACTTCACAATCTTAACTGTACACACTTCTGTGTTTTTGTAACCTGATGGTAGTGTCTAAAGTTAGGATTGAGGAAAGGAGCTGAGAAGTCCTCATCTTGTTCCTTTCCTTTATCATTGAGAAAAAAGTTTCCCAGCAGAAGGAAGAGAAGAGTGTCAAGCAGTCAATGTACAAGATGCTCTCCAGCTTCTCCCTTCTCTGTGGCCAACCCTCCAGGAAGGCCTCAGCCCACCTTCAGCCAGTATTCAGAACTTTTAAGTCCTTACCTCAAAATCTGCCGGGCAGCACTGAAAACCTGTTCATTCTTGGCCATTCCTCTCTGTGTACAGTGAGTTCTTAAATCCAGTGCTCTTTGTATTATGCACACAGCAATTCATTGTTTCAGAGTTATTGAGGGTATGTTGTTTAACCTATTTGTACAAGGAAATTGAGTCTCAGGTTAGGTGACTGGCTAGTCAGTACTTGGGGCCAGGATCTGAGCTACAATCTGACCTTGAAATTCATGTTGTTTTCATTATACCAAAGTGCCTCTGCCCACCATGATGATTCTGTATGAGAGATCAGTTATGGCTCTCCTGGGTAGCTACCTCTACTAAAGCTGATTGTACCTGAACAGTTATTTGATTATGGTTTTATTAGGAAGATACTGTAAATCTTAGTTACATATTTCTTCCCTCTAGTTACAGCAAAGAAAGAAGTGAAGGCTTTATATATTTTTGTGAGAAGGATTGTTTGGCTTTGTCCTGTTTTGGTAGAATAGTGGTTTGCATATAATTTTTTGATATTACAGTTCCTCTGCATAGTAGGGTTTGCGGGGGGGGGGCGGGTGCTGGAAGAGGTGTGTTGTTTCCAGGGCCATTCATCATTAAGTGGAGTTGCTAATATATCTTGTATTGTTGACCAGATATTCTCTGGCCACTGTGTCATTGTTTTCTTATCACTGTGTCAGAGTCTGAAATTCTTCACATGGGCTTTCTTTTTCATCTGAAAAGACTCTGTGATCTTTAAATATCTTTAAGGAAGGATATCTTGTCACCTTATATGCAGAAATCTTAATACAGGAGGTTGTCATATTTGTTGCCCTAAGAAAGCGAGAATTATAGTTCCTCCAAGCCCTCACCAGACTTCTAGGCCAGTGCCTGCCTTGAACTGCAGGAGCAAATGATGGTAACAGGTCCCTGCACCCTTAAGATAAATATTGTGCTGTATGATTTGAACTGGTCACTCACCTTCCTCCAGCAGTCTACCAGAACTGGCAGATGTTAACATTGGAGTTTAACATGTTCCTGTCAGTTTCAGCCACCAGTGGTACATGCATGACTGCCTACCAAGCCGCTTGTACCACTGGTGGTACAAATGGATCTAATCACTCTGATTGATCTTTTCACCAGTACAATTAATAAAAAGCCACCTGATGGGACAGTCGTACATGTACCACTGATAGTTTAAGCTACTCGGCAGTAAGACTTACAAATTATGACCCCATCGATGACCCTCCTTTCAACTCTTTTCTTTTTTTGGGAGGGTACCAGAAATCACACTCAGGCCCTTGAACTTGACAGGCACTGTGCCACTGAGCTGTATCTGCAATCCTCAATCCCTTTCATACTACTATGAGTTGGAGGCTGTCTTCAAGGATGTCTTCTTCACTTTCTTATTCTGTGGAACTCTAGGTATTCCTTAAGGGCAGTGCTTTCTCCACAACCCCTTGGTTGCTAATTTTTGTGTCATTCACCCCCACTGTACTGTTATTTCTTTGTTCTCCATCAGAAACCCAGCTCTCTTGAAATATATTTCACAAAACTTGTGCATTGCCCACCTGTTTTTGTTACCCACTGGCTTCCAGTGCTCTTTTCTTTGGTATTTCTGATGCTCCAAATATCCCTGAGGAATATAAAGAGGAAATACTTTACAGCCACCCTGGTTGTATAGAACTGCCCTGTGAAATGAAAGTATGTATGCACCTAGATGAGAGAAAAATGAAATTAAATCTTATATAGCCTCAATTAAAGGAAACATGCACTCTGGAGGCTGAAGCAGGAGGATCAAGGCCAGCCTGGGGTACACAGTTTAAGACCAGCAGAAAGACACTGTCTTGCGGGGAAATTGTATATATATATGGTAAACCTGCTTAGAGAGGAAAATGGTATCTCCTTGAGAGATTTATCTTCATACGTGGTGTGTACCATATTAGGTCTTAGGAGAAATTGAAACCAAAAATAGCATTAAGTAGATGAGTAAATATGTTGTGTCTAAATCCCTTAAGATTAAATTCACTGCAGCTCTGTATCCTTGGTGACAGACTTAGTTTACTTTTTTCCTTCCATATAAATAAAAAGGGATGGTTTTATTGTTAGGTGGTAGTCAAGAGACTTGTTAATCACCTCTAATAGTATAAAACTGGCTTCATAAAATTGTTTTTGCAAGAAATAGTGATAATTCTTTCAATAAACATACTGTTTTTAAAAATATCACTGGGGTTTAGGGTTATTTTTTCTTCTTCAAAATGGGAAGAAAACAGTTCAATCTAGTTTCCTTTAAGGAACTGTTCTTAGAATGAAGTGGTTGTGACTTGTTTCTGGATGAAGTTTGTTCTTTTCATACTTTAGAACTCAGTAGCCATTCCATGTGTAGCCATTTCCTCATAGCTATACAAAAATCAGCTGGGCAAAGGTGATCTTCTTTAGGTAAAAAGCAGAAGCTGCTTTTAATTTCTTTCTTTTTTTTTTTTTTTTTTTTTTGGTACTGGGAATTGAACTCAGGACCTTTGTGTGCCACTGAGCCATCTTCCCAGCCCTTGCTTTTAATATCTAACTCAAAGAATTTTAGTATTTCAAAATAGGCCCTTTACTGTGTAGTAACTATTTTTTTTCTAGTACTAGAAAGGGGGAAGAAATCTTAGAAAGAGCCTCAGTTACATTTTACTACCACTTACATTTATTTTTTCTTGAATCTACCACTTTTGGCCCTTTCCATAGCAAAGTATATTCAAGCCATAGGCCAAATGCAGTGATGTACAGCTGTAACCCCAGCACTCTGGAAAGCTGATGCCGGAGGTTCACAAGTTTGAGCCCACCTTGAGCAACTTAGCAAGAACCTGCCGCATAATAAAAAGTGCTAGGGATGTAGCTGAGTGTGAAAGTCCTGATTTCAACTGCCAATATTGGGGGGAAAAAGTCAAGATCTATATGAAAGTTGAAGATAGCTTCTCTGCTTCCCATCCCACACCAGATTATCACAGTCTGAGATGAATTCCCAGTGAACCGTGTATTTAGTGCTGATTGGCATTCATGCTGGCATGACTTCTTCAATACCTGCCTAGAGTATAATATTCAGGTCTGAGAAACGACACTGGCTGTCCTGGCTTTTCTCCTTTCTCTTCCCTACTTCATCTTGCCTCAGAATCCTGAATGGTGGTACAGTGAGCACTTGGATTTCAAAGCACTACTAGTTATTAGGAACATTTAACAAATTAAATTCACACATCCTTATTTTCAGTATCATTAAAGCTGTGACAGTATTACTTGTCTCAAGGGATTCATGTGAGGAGCAAATGAAATTAATCATGTGAAAGAGACTCTCACCCAACAGTGTTTAAAGTCTTGATTTTTTTTTTCTTTTGTTTTCTTCTGATATCCCAGCTGTTCTGGTTTGAAATCTGGCTTCATTCCATTGCATCTACCAGGTGCAGTTACAACTGCAACTACAGTTACTGTCGAAAAGTGCGCCTTCTTGGGGTGGAGATGGAAAATAGGCTACTGGGTAATTTTTGGAACTAGCAATGACTTTCAAGAACCATTGATCTGTTTCATTAGGGTATCTTCAGCCTAGAGGGCTGGTCTCCCGAACAACTCGGAGCAGCCTCAGGTGCACTTTCCCGTCTCCTCTTGGAAAAGCAACGAATAAGAAAGACGCAGCCTCCTAGAGAAGCCGGAATGGCCGGCTAGGCGCAACCGGAAGTCGCACTACGCCGGCTCGGCAGGCCAGATGGCGCTCGGCTGCGGCGCTTCCGGTTCCGGTGGCATCTCCCAGCATCCTGCCGCGGAGGAGGTCTCCGGGAGGCTGGAGCTGTACCCAGACCCTCTGGTGAGCAAGGTGGGGCCAGGGTCAGGGTCTCCAGGGTGGCCTGGAGTGGCGCGTGGCGAGCGCGGAGAGGTACTGAGTATAGCGTCTCGAATCTGCGGGTGACCCCGGAGTGGACCTCCAGGTAGCCACCTCGGTGCCTCTGCTGTGGTGCACAGAAACAACGTGAGACTTCTCTAGGGCATGGTTTTGTTTCTAAGGATGGACCCATTGTCAACTTTTAACTTTATAATATAATGGTATTTAAAAAGCAAACCACACATACCGCCGTTACTGAAGAGAATACATTTTAATACTAAGACTGCAAACTTAGAAAGAATGCTGTCCTTTGGGAGGAAAAGAAAGTGATTGCTAACCTGTCAGGGACTGTCTGTGACCGTTGCTCTTCTCTTTTTGTAGCTTACCAGGTTAAATCTTTATCGGGGGTTGTTTGGAAGCTATTTTTTTAGGTAGCTGTTTGTTATTAGGGTTTCGTAATTCTCTTCAATGGAATTATTTTGGAGGCTTGGAGTTCGGAATTTGTTCCCCCAGCTTACCTAGCTGAGTGTTTTGGCATAAGTCACAAGCATTTGGGTCTTGCTAACTTGTGTGCTTCATATAGCTTTTGCAAGAACCTTGCAGAGTCCACATTTAAGGTTTGTCATTTTTGTTTGCAAATAATTGTGAATAAAATTCTGATAATTTATATAGACAGTTACTTAAAATATTTTTTAAAATTCCTTTACATCACCTGTAGATGATTACCAAAAACTATTAAATATTTCTCAGTAGTTTTATTCTTCTTGCTAACTCATTTAGAGTTTAATCACATGTCCATCGCAGATATGTAACTGGCCTTCCTTTTTTTTTTTTTTTTTTTTTTGGTTTTTCTCCGGTACCGGGAACCAAACTCATGACCTTGCGCTTGCCAGGCAGGCGCTTTTGCCGCTGAGCTAAATCCCCAGCCCCTAACTGGCCTTCCTAATATCTAATTTTCCCTCACCCATCATTCCTTCCTTATGGATTCCACACTCCATTTAAGGCTCCCCTCACAGTGCTTGGCAAAACGTCTTTCCAATCCTGGCACAACACCAAGAAGCCATAAAACAAGATTGCATGGCAGAAACCTTGATAAGCAGAGTCAGTTGACACATGTGATGAAGACATACCAAATGGAAAAATTCCCAGCTCCTTTTGTAAGCAACATATTTTCTTATGATACTGAGCGTGTCCATAATAACAAGACCCAGCACCCCAAGAGAAGTACGACCAAAATATATGGTCATTTAACAAAATGACTCTTAATATAATCATTTACTTGAGATACAAGTTAAATATCTGGCAGATATAACAGACTTTGTGTCACATGCTCATAGTCCCAGTGCTCAGGAGGCTGAGGTGGGAGGATCTCTGGAGTCTAGGAGTCCTGAGACTAGTCTGGGTAGTATTGCAAGACCCCGACTTAAACAAGGCATAAATTGCAGTTTTCGCCAGACACATTGGTGAGGGTGAGGAGATAGGCACTCCCACTTAGTTCATGCGGAGGGCAATGTAGGTTGTAAATTGGTACCATCTTAATAAGGGTTGCTTGGCAGTATCAAAGTTATGAATCCTCACACCTTTTGACCTAGCAATTCTAATTCAACTGTTTATGCCTATACACATGCAAATTGATGTATGCTCAAAGGTACTGATGATATTATTGGTAATAGAAGCTTGAGCATCACCTAAATGTCCCATCAGTGCTGAAGTGCAAAGTAGATTAAGGTGCAGTAACAATCGGGAAGACTGGGAAGATCTCAGGTTGCATTATTGAGAAAGGAAGGTGGAACACATTCATGACAGTCTACTGTTTGTGAGAAAGGGGAACTTACGTGTATATATTTGTATTTACATAAGTAGCTGGAAAGGTACAGAAGAAACTAGTGGGGATAGGGAAACTACACAGTACGTGTTTTGTAATTCTAAATCTTGACTCAAGTGCATATATTACCTGTTTTTAAAAATAACAAGGGGAAATGTCAAGTTAAGCCACTTTAACAGTTGTTCATCATTTGTAAGACAGAATCATATTATTCTGCCTCTCAGGAACCTTTAGCATTTGACCTCTGCTTACCTTCCTGCTCTATTCCTACAATTTTGCCTCCAAAGTTTACTTTCCTTCTTCTCTGGTTTGCAAAGCATGTTTGTTTTTCTTGTCCTGGCCTGTCCAGTCCTATCCTGCCCCCTGCGCCCCCATGCTGGAGATTGTAGCCAGGGCTACATGCCTGCTAGCAAAACACTGCAAAGCCCATTTCTAACAGAGCTATGTGTGAGGTCAGCCCCTTGGATTTGAAATATAGTTTCTTTCTGAAATGGCTTCCATGATATCCATTGGTCTGTTTATTTTTCCTTTAATGTTCAGTTTGAATTTACTTTTCATGAGTCCTTTCTGTGTTTATATGTTCTAGAAGTTGTATTTACACATTGTATTGAAATAGTGTTTATATTTCTGCCTCTCCTGCTTGGTTATAACCAAGGTCTTTGAGACTGTGTGTGTTAAATGAAATTAGTGAAAATACTTTCATCTGTCACTGATGGTGATGTGAGTGTTAGAACCTTAACAGTTTGATAATATTTATATAATCTTTGACCTAACAATTTTTCTTATAGAAATTTGTCTTGAAAAAATAGAAATGGGCTGAAGATGTAGGTCAATGATAGGGCACTCACCTGTCATGCACTAGGCCTTAGGTTTGATGTGGGGGCAGTTAGCCAGAGTTTTTCATCAGGGATAATCATTGTGGCCTTTTTTTTTTTTTTTTTTTTTTGGTACCGGCAATCGAACTCACGACCTTGTGCTTGCCAGGCAGGCACTGTGCCGCTGAGCTAAATCCCCAGCCTGTGGCCTTATTTATAATAGGAAAAAATTAGAAATAATCTAAATGTCTAGCAACAGGGAACTCCTTAATTATGACTGGACTCATACAGCTCTTTAAAATAATGAACAATGTTTAATATCATGTTCACAATGTAACATGGGAAAAGGCAAGTTATACAGAAGTATAGTCAGATCCAATCTTATGATCCAGATTCATGTATAGAAAAAGGACCACAAGGGCGTAGCCCAAAAGAGTAGCAACAGTTGTTTTCTGGTTTGTGCATGTTTTTCAGTTTTACCATTTTCCTGTTTTGTAATTAGAAATATAAATGTTATTTCAAAAGATGAGGTGATTTCTACAGAGCAACAAGCCTTATTCAAAGTAATACAAAGACGTGCTATGTACAGGTACCAACTCCCTATATTATAGGGACTCCTTTTATACTGCAAGCATGTATTAATAAAAATTAAAATAATTTTAGAAATGGAAAATTAAAAATTTGAAGTTACAAAAACGTAGTAATACAAATATTTTGAATAACAGAATGAACAATTTTCAAAGAATTAAAAGTAGGTACAGCAAAGTTACACAGAACTTAATTCAGTCTTTCTTTGCTAATTGTTAGGGTTTATCCCATGTATGTCCAGATTAAGACCATGCGTACTTGTTGCCTCCTATGAGCATAGGAAAGCAAGCTAGCACAGAAGGAACACTAATATTTGAGTCTGCGTGTCAGGCATTATTCAGAAACTTGAAACGGTGTAGGTACAGCTCAGTGGTGGAGCATTTGCCTAGAACGTCACTCTGGGTTCAGTTCCCAGCTGTGGAAAAGCAAAGCAAACAAAAAGCACCTTGAAATATGTTTAGAGCAAGGCATGGTGGCACATGCCTCTAATCCCATCACTCTGGGAGGGCTAAGGAAGGAGAAGTGCAAGTTTGGGCCTAGCCTGGGGACTTAGCAACTTAGTGAGACCCTGTCTCAAAATTTTGTTTTATTTTTTGCCTTTTTTTTGAGACAGGGTTTTGCTATTCAGGCTGGACTTGAGCTCATTTTCTAGCCTAGGCTGATCTCAAACTTGCAACAATCTTCCTGCCTCAGCCTCCCAAGTGCTGGGATCACAGGCATGTGCCGCCACGCCTGGCCTCAAAATTTTAAAAAATAAAATAAAAGGATGGGTATGTAGCTCATTGCGAAGGCGGAGTTCAGTCCCCAGGAACACACATACAAGACACACACACATACGCACACACAAAAGAAAAGAAAAATGTTCCAGTGTCATGTTCTCACCACCCCACAAAGTAGGAACTGCTGTTATCCTTATTTTACAGGTTAAGAAATGAAGGCTTAGAAGTGGGGTAATTTGTTGAGCTACAGAACCATCCAGGAGGCTCACATAAATGGTACAGAGTTTCTTGTAGCTCAGTTGAAGAGAGCCTTTGTATAAAGACCAGAGCATTTCCATGTTGCTAGTTTCAGCAGTGTCTATTCCCAGGGCCTTAGGCAGGGGTTTTCTGCCAGAGGGAGCAGACTCAGGAGCCCCGAACCCTGGGTTCAGGAAGATTCTTTTCACTAGTAGGAGCTGCCTGGAGAAAGCTGGATTACTTCTCTGGCTAACTTTAATAATGATTTCTTGAGGTCTTAGAGATGATATTCACCAGGCTCTAAAGAAGAAGTCAAGCGAAGATTAAGGGGACCTGGAGAGGAAGCTTTCTTAAAAGACAGCAATGACAAGAGAGAACTGGACCCACAATGCTTTGCCACAAGAAGGCCTCGTGAAAGGGAAGGATGACAACTGGAAGTGGGGAGCCAGCTACCCAGGCAGCAGCTCCTCCATGTGGGAAACCTCGCATACACAGTTCAGACAGCTGCGTTACCACGAGACCTCCGGACCCCAGGAGGCCCTGAGCCGGCTCCGGGAGCTCTGTCGCCGGTGGCTGAGGCCAGAGGCACGCACCAAGGCCCAGATCCTGGAGCTGCTGGTGCTGGAGCAGTTCCTGAGCATCCTGCCAGGGGAGCTACGGACCTGGGTGCAGCTCCATCGGCCTGGAAGTGGGGAGGAGGCTGTGATCCTGGTAGAGGAGCTGCAAGAGTACCTGGATGGATCAGTGCTAACGGTGAGAAGAGCCGGCACGGGGGTGAGTGGCAGGAAGGAAAGAACTGAGGCCCGGCTGGTGGGTGATCCTGGGATTTTCATTAATAATTGATGGTACATGAGCAACCTAGTGCTAATTAAAGTGGGTTCAAAAGCTATTCACACCATAGGTTATATTAGCAAAGAGGTAGATTTATGAACGAGGACTTTGGGTCCAATTCAGAAACAGTACATAAGCATTGATTCCACTATGTCACCTTATAGGGTGCTTGCTAATGGTTAAGTTTGTTCGGCTCCTTGTGGGTTGTCTCCGTAAGGCTGTTTGGAGTAGCGATAGCAGCCTGGAGTGTGAAAGGCAGTGGTACAGCAAGCGTTTCAGGTCTAGGGTGGCCCCCCTTGTGTGACCTTGCAAGACAAGGGGTTGGGTTAAGACATTTGCTTCTGATGAGACTTTACACCCTTGATCTTTCAGTTGGAGTCTTCTGAGTGTGGGATCTCTTTGTATAAATCTGTGGCCTGCTACAGACATTTCAGTGTAAGAAGTCTGAACCATACTCGAATGGCAATGGCATCAAGAATGGGTTTGTGCTGGGTGGAGTGGCACACATCTGTAATCCCAACACTTGGTAAACTGAGGCACGAGGATCTCAGAGAGTTCGAGGCCATCCTGTGCTACATAGTGAATTTAAGACTAGCATGAACTACATGGCAAGACCCTGTCTCGGAAAAACAAAAAGAATGCGCTTGTTTTAATCTAAAAATGAAGACTTTAGAGCTCTCTGTCTCATTACCGGTCACTGAAACATCCTCTTCATTTGAGAGATCAGAGAACTGAAACAGGTGGATTGCCGCAGGTTAGACACGAAGCTAGCAGCAAAACCATGTGTCTAGGCACTCAGCGCAGCATCACTTGTGTTGGAGCAGGAAGATCTAGGTTAAGGGTAAAGGAGTAAATAAGTAGAAGAGACGGGACTGAACCCAAATCTCATGTAAAACTAGGCCTGAAGCTAAATCCATGCTGTCAGTCCCTGCTTGGTACTTCCGTCCCCTCCCCAGCCCACACAGGCTGGCTTCTGCTCCTGTCCTGTGCTGCCTCCCCTGGAGAGGCCACAGTGCCAGGCAGAGGGCTGGAGGACAGCTCCCTTGTGCCCCTTGCAAAGATTTGCTGCTCTTCTGCAGTCCTCTATTCGAGGTGGGTCTTTCTGACCTCTCAGTTTTTGACTGAGGACAGAAAGGTCCATGGTGGTTAAGTGAGTCCATTTTCCAAAGGAACGACAAGAGCAAACTTCTTGTGTTTTGGCTTGTCCCCAGGTTCCTGTACTTGTCCACAACCAGGACACTGTCCAGGAGGTGTCCAGTGCTCCGGGAGCAGCACTTCCTCCTGCACCTCCCAGCAGCCACTTAGCAGCTGAAATCCACCTGAAACCTCTTCCTGACCCGGTGGTCTTCAATCTCCAGGATCCTCTGCATGGTACTCCTTGTCCAGACTCCTTCTGTGGCTCCTCCACCTAATCAGGGTGGTGCTTCCTTTTTTTGTTTGTTTGTTTTCCGGTACCGGGAACTGAACTCACGACCTTGCGCTTGCCAGGCAGGTGCTGTGCCGCTGAGCTAAATCCCCAGCCCCAGGGTGGTGCTTCCTTTCCTGCCCTGTGTAGGCATCCTTTACAGTCCCTGTCTCCTTGTGCTGTGCCTGCTATTAGCCCTTCTGTCCCTCCTGGTCCCTCTGACTCTGCATCCATTCTTATTGCTACACTTAGGTTCTTCCAGTCCTTCACACAGGAGTCACTCAGAAAAGGTTGGTTGTCCCTTTGTAGCCATCATTGCCTCAGCCTGGGGGTTCTGGGTCATTGTGAGGCCCTGATTTGTAGATGATGTTAGACATGGGAGATAGATAAGAATAGCAGGAATCTCACACAGTTGGTTTCCTTTCTCAGATTCTCCTGCCCCTGAAGCATCTACCCTTTCCCAGGAAGAGAACCCACGAAATCAATTGATGGCACTTATGCTTCTGACAGCCCAGCCACAGGTAAGTCTGGCATCCTCATTTCTTCCTGTCTGCACTACTGAGTGCCGCTGCAGTGCCCTGTCTGTCCTGGTTCTGGCTTCCCTGTCGGTCCCCATCTCTAAATGAGAGTCTAGCTATTGGAAGACAGACTTTACAGAGGGTCCCCTTAGCTCTTCTTGATACCTGCATCCCACCTCGTGACCTCACAATGTCTCCTGTCCTCAGGAGGGAAAAGACCCCATTTGTAGGAAGCTCCAGGCATCAGTAATCTCTCTCATTTCAGGAGTTGGTGATGTTTGAGGAGGTCTCAGTATGCTTCACCTCAGAGGAATGGGCGTGTCTGGGCCCAATCCAGAGAGCCTTGTACTGGGATGTGATGCTAGAGAATTATGGAAATGTTACCTCCCTAGGTAAGGACTCTTTCTTCTCATAAATCATACCTTCAGTTCATCAGCCTTTTAAAACAATAAAATAGTAGCTTATTTTGGAAAACACAAAGTATTACAAAGAAGCAAACCGCCTTTAAATCCACTATTCACAAACAACTACTATCCCTGGGCATGATGGCACACGCCTGTAATCCCAGCACTCGGGAGGGAGGCTGAGGCAGGAGGATCGTTGTGAGTTCGAGGCCAGCCTGGGCTACAAAGTGAGCTCAAGGTCAGCCTGAACTGCATAGCGAGACCCTGTCTCAAAAAGACAAAACAAACAAACAAAGCAAAAAAAAAACAACTACTGTCAACATTTCGATGCGGTCCTATCTGTTTTTTTCTATGTTAGACAGTTTTTGTACATTGTTCATGTGTGTGAGAGTGTATCTGTACAGTTTTATAGACGGCTTTTGTAATGTTTTTCTCATTGATATTAACTCTTTGGAAGTATTGGCTACATAAGTTGTACCATAAGTTAGCCATTTCCTTATTTTAGGTAATTGCTGTTGTAATCATCAACCCTTGTGCCTAAAATGTTTATAAATTCTAGACAAATCTGAGAGTTAAACTAAAAAAATAATAAGAAAATGGGCTAGCTCTGTGGTGTAGTCCATGCTTAGCATACCTGAGGCCCTGGGTTCAATCTCCAGCATGAAAAAAGGAAGGAGGAAGGGAGAGAAATAAGTGGAATTGCTTGTTTAATATAGTCCCTTGAGGAACGTTTGAGCCAAATTTAATAAATAAAATATACTCTAACTCCAAAGTTGTTTGGCCTCTGAGAAAGCAGGTGTTTATGCCCTTTGACCTAGTTATTCTAATTTGAGGAGGATACCTTAAGAAAATGGTTTGGAAAGAGGGAAGATGAGCACACACATTGGTCACACACACATTCCCCAAGATAAATTTCTAAGTAGACCATGGTGTTTTGGCCCGCTACAGTGTATTGTCACACTCTTAAATATAACTGTGCACTTGATTTGCTCTGTACTCATGAACTGGTAGAGAAGCAAATTCCCAGACAGTTTGTACGTACTATTAAAATATATAGAAGATTGTACATATTTATTTCTGAGGCTGAAGTAGTATTTAAAGGGAAGTATTCAAGAACTGTTACTGAGTACTTCCCACAGGAGGCTCAGCCTATGCCTTAAATGAATATTTAGATTGGAGAGCTAGACCTTTACACTGATGATTATAATATATTGTGGCAAATACTGTAGAGTAAAACTGTATGCATGTGATATGGGCAAGCATAGGAGCCTGGGTTGGTGGAAGGATTGGGCATGTGGAAGGAGGACATACATGGTTCATGGAAAGATCTATAACAATTTTGTTAAGATGCCTTTCACGGCTGAGGATTTAGCTCAGCGGCACAGCACCTGCCTGGCAAGCGCAAGGTTGTGAGTTCGATTCCCGGTCCCTGAAAAGAAAAGAAAAAAAAAAACAAAAAAACAAAGATGCATTTCACATACCACAAAATTTACCTTTTAAAGTGTACATTTCCGTGGTTGTACAACTTTCACTACAGTTTGAGAAGATTTCAAATGACCAAAATAGAAACCTTGAACCTGTCAGCAATCCACCCTCATTTCACCCAACTCATTCCTCCAACTTAGGCAACCACTAATCTACTTTCTATCTCTATAGGTTTGTCCGTTCCGAACATTTCATGTCCATGGAATTGTGCAGCAGTTCTGTGCTCGACTCCTTTTATTTAACATGATGCTTTCAAGGTTCATCCCTCCTGTAGTATGTGTCAGTACTTCATTGCTTTTTTACTGCTGATGGTAGTCCATTGAATGGATATATCACATTTTGTTTACCCACTTACCAGTTAATTACCTTTAGGCGGCTTCTACTTTTGGGTTATCTTACATAAAACTACCATTACCATTTGTGTACATGTTTTTATGTGGACATAGGTTTTCATTTTTCTTGGATGTATAAGTAGGAGGATTTCTGGGTCACATGTTTACTCTATATTTCATCACTTGAGGAACTGACAGACTGTTTTCCAAAGGGGCTACACCAGTTGTTACTCCTCTTAGTGACTAAAGATCCCAGTTTCTTCACTTTCACTCACACTTGTTATTTTTATTTTAACCGTCTTAGTGGATCTGAAATGATACTTCATACTTTTGATTTACACTTTCTCATGGCTAACAGTGTTATAGCAGCTTTTGGTGTTCTTATTAGCTATGTCTATATTTGAAGCTTTTTTCCTACATTTAACATAGAATTATTTGTCTTTCTTATCACTTAGTTACAAGAGTTCTTTATATATTCTAGATGTAACTCCCTTAATAGATACATGACTTACAAGTATTTTTCTCCCATGCTGCATTGTCTTTTCCCATTCTGGATGGTATCCTCTGAAGGACAAAAGTTATTGATAAATTCAAATTTTTTTTGTTGTTTTGCATTTAGTGTCTATCTAAGAAATTATTACTAGCTCACAGTCATAAAGACTTGCATGTGTGTTTTCTTCTAAGTTTTGGCTCTCTTACATTAGGTCTTTGAATTATTTTTTGTGTATGTGGTGAGGTAAGTCTCCAACTTTATTGTTCAGTTATCCTTACACTATTTATTTCCCCTATGAATTGTTTTCATGCCTTTTGGAGAACCATTGATCATAAATGTGAAAGTTTATTTCTAGACTAGTTGTTTGATCTGTGTGTCGATCCTTAATGTCATTACCACCTTATTACTGTAGCTTCATAGTACATTTTGAAGTCAGGTAGTTTGGGTCTTCCAACTGTAAGTTCCTTATATTTTGTTTTTCAGTATTATTATAGCTACTCTAGATCTCTTGAGAGTTCATATAAATTTTGGAATTAGGTAGTTAATTTCTGTGAAAAAGCCAGCTGTTTTGTTTTTTTTTTAATGTGAATTGCATGAATCTGTGAATCAATTTGATGTATATTGCCATTTTAATAATATAAAGTCTGTCAGTATATGAATATGGGCTGTCTTTCCACTCATTTTTTTGTTTGTTTGTTTTTTTGACTTTTTTTCCAGTACCGGGAATCAAACTCATGACGTTGTGCTTGCTGGGCAGGCGCTGTGCTGCTGAGCTAAATCCCCAGCTCCTTTCCACTTACTTTGGTTTTCAGTTTTTCAGTGTTGCTTTGTTTTTAGTGCATAACTTTCAAACTTTTGTGAAGTTTACTCCTAACCTTATTTCTTTTTGTTATATTGTGATTATTTTCTGAGTTGCATTTTTGGATGGTTCACTGTTGCTATAGTGTATAGAAATTCCACTGATTTTTGTATATTGATCTTGTATCTGTAACCTTGTTGGCTTTATTTATTCTAATAGTTTTTTAGTGGATTTCTTAGAATTTTCCATATGTAATAACTTGTTATCTACAAATAGTTACCTCTATGATAATTTTAATTCTTCCTTCCCAGTGTAGATGTCTTTTATTTCCTTCTCTTGGTTATTGTCCTGGCTAGAATTATAATACATGTTAAACAGAAGAGATGAGAGTAGGCAGTCTTAGTCCTGCTCTTACAGGAAATGTGTTCCTTCTTTCACCATTACATATACTAGTTTGGAGGGTTTTTGTTTTGCTTTTTAGATGTCCTGTATCTGATCGAGGAATTCCCTTCTATTCCTAATTTGTTGACTCTTTTTCCCATGAAGCAGTGTTGGATGTTGCTAAATGCTTTTTGTGAAAGTATTTAAGCTGAGAAAATCACGGTTTTGATCCTCCATTCTATTGACATAGTTTATTGCATCAATTGGTTTTCCAGTGTTACACCAACATTGTTTTCCTCTGATAAATCTCACTTTATCATAATGCAAAATTGTTTTTATATATTGCTGCATTTGGGTAGCTAGTATTTCATTGAGTTTTACATCTCCATTCTTCAGATATATTTGTAGTGTTCCTTTGTAGTGTTCCTTTCAGATATATTTGTAGTGTTCCATTCTTCAGATACATTTGTAGTGTAGTCATTGATTTGTCTGATTTTGTTGTCTGGGTAACAGTAGCCTTAGAATGAGTTGGAAAATTATAGAGAGCCCTTCCCAGTCCTTGTTGCTGCCCAGAAAGTTTATATTTGTAATCCTGTGAAAAGCTATTGGAATTCTAGCGAGTTAATTCCAATCTACCACTTCCAGGGCAGCCCATGGTGAGAATAAAGACACTATGGTATATTTGTAGTTATGGGGAACCAAAGGGTCCTAAGTCCAGCCATTATGATGGCTATCAGGAACAAAGGCCTCGACCCAAGGCCAAACACAGGTTGTATTCATTCATGGAGAGGGGAGTGGCTTGAGGATGAGTGACTGTGAGAACCATAGGAAGTTGGTAAGTGCCATGACCTGGGTTGGGTAGGAGGCCTGAAATCACCTCTGCAAATACAGAGAGAAGGCTATGCAGAAAGAGTAACCCACATAACACAATTGAGATAGTATCTAATGTTTTGGGGTTGGTGTTTCAGCTCTGATATGTGATCTTTCAAGCCCCAGGCAGTCATAGCCTCTATCCCAAGGCTCGAGGCTCGATCCTAGCCAGCAGTGTGGAGCATTGGCTCACATATCCTGCCTCATCCCAGCTCACTTCTGGGAACAGTGGGGGAGGGCGGTGTTGGGGAAACATGTCTGCCATCTCCAAAGACTACCATCAGCACCTCAGGTAGATTGATATGCATTGCTTAGAGGAAACTGAAGGGATAGGAAAGGGTCCTAGCCTGTACATATCAGTACATGGAAATAGGGTCAGGCTCAGCCAAAACAGAGGGAATTGCTCCTCTTTCAAGGAGAGTCACCTAAGTGGTCCGCCATAGGAAGTGTTTCTGCTTCTTCTAAAAGAAATTGTACTAGGGGCTGGGGATTTAGCTCAGCAGCACAGCACCTGCCTGGCAAGCGCGAGGTCGTGAGTTCAATTCCCAGTACCGGAAAAAAAAAAATACTAGACATAAAAGAAATTGTACTAATTCTTTGAATGTTTGGTACACTTTGCCAATGGAACAAACTAGGCCTGGGTTTCTCTTTGTGGGTAATTGTTTCTAAAACCATTTTAGTTTCTTGTTATAGACCTAGTCAGATTTTCTGTTTCTTCTTGAGTCAGTTTTAGTAGTTGTGGCTTTCCAGGAACTTACCATGTCCTCTAAGTTATCTAATTTTGTGGCACAGAATCATTCACAGATCAGTGCCAATGTGTGGGGAGTGACTTCAGATCTTAATTTTTAAAGGTGTAGATACAGGGCATGTTGTGAGTTGCAAAGAGGTAGAGCAATCTGAGAAGCAAATAGAACATGGGCACTAATAGGCAACGAGAAACACGACAGGTTTGGTCAGCTGCAAATAGTTCACCGTGCTGGAGTCTGGGGTTGTCAGAGACACTGAGAAGACTTAATCCCAGATAAACAGGCAGACAGTGAGTGAAGCATCTCTTGGACAACCGGTCATTTATGCTTTGTCCTCTAAGCAGTGAAGAATTACATGTTTTGAGCAGGTGAGTCACATGATCAAATTTACCATTTGAAAAGATCATTGGCAATGACTAACACATTGACGGGGCACATGAAGGATGAAGGGAATTTGAGGTAAGTTAACCAGTTTCTTACAGGCTTCAAAGATTGTTCAGCGGAATGAGCTCTTCATGACTTTTTTTTTTTTGTCTTTTTGAGACAGGGTCCCACTGTGTAGTTCAGGCCAGTCTTGAGCTGACTTATGACTCACAACGAGTAGCCAAGGCTGGCCTCGAACTCACGACGATCCTCCTGCCTCAGTCTCCTGAGTGCTGGGATTACGGGCATGCTCCATGACATTTTTAAACCAGGTCCCCAAAGTTTAATAGGCCCATAGGTAGTCTGATTCATACAACTTTACTTATTTAGGTAATTTGAGAAACTAGCTCATAATATTTTCTTGCACTTGGGTGGTTCAGAAGTAAACTTCCAGGGAAGGGGGAAGAAGGGGAGAGGTGGGAAAAAAAGTAAACTTCCAAGCCAAGTGTGGTGGCACATGCCCATAATCTCAGGCCTTTGGGAGGCTAACAGATGAGGGTTGTAAGCCTAGGCAATTTAGTCACTTAGAGAGACCCTGTCTCAAAAAATTTTTTTAAAAAATTGTTTTTTAAATAGCTGCGTGAAGGCCCTGAGTTCAATCCCCAATACTACCAAAAAAAAAAAAAAAAGAAACTTCTGAAACATTTGCCTACAAATAGCGTCACATTAAAAATGTTTAAGGAAAAAAAATGTTTAAGAATGTTAGAGTAGCAGTTGACCTCAGAGATTAACTATTTCAGCCTCGTTTTCAGATGTTTTCATATTTGTTTTTTTAATTATCTGTATTTTTTCCTTTCCATTCTGTATTTCTTTTATGTCTAATTAAGAAAGGAATCCAAGAGAGATACGATGTTTTTGGGAATTAACTTCAATATTTCTGTAATTTAAAAAAGAATATGGCCGAGAATTTAGCTCAGTGGCTCAGCACCTGCCTGGCAAGCACAAAGTCGTGACTTTGATTCCGGTACCCACCCCCCAAAATAGGTGGAGTCATAATGTGAATTCTAAGAATTACATTACTTTTTGGTGGATTTTTTCTGTTGGCTAATTGCTTTCAACTAATTGCAAAGTATCTATGCACTTGACTTTTTGAAAATTAAAAATTGCCTTTTTAATTTAAAATTGCCTTTTAAGTGTAAGTTATACTTACCCCATTTTAAAGTTCCCATCTTCCTAACAAGAAGAAAACAAAAACACGGTTCTTTCTAAGCCAAATAGTTCTTCCTAGAAACAAACAAAAATAGTTCTTTGGCTGGAAAGATAGCTCAGTGTACAGCATCTGTCTAGCAAGTACAAGGTCCTGAGTTCAATTCTGGTACCAAAAAAAAAAAAAAAAAAAAGTTCTTCCTGTTCTGTCCAGCTTCTTAATCTCAGATCTGAACCATCTATATCAAAGCATCCCATGTCCATGCTTTAATTCTTATTTGCGTCTCTTTTGCAGCATTATTTGTATTTTTCCATTTGCTATCAGAACACCAACAGCTTAGAAGTGTCAGTGAACTACATGTTAATTCATTTATAACATCCTGTCAGTGTAGCATTCTGCTTTGTACCTTTAATGAAAAGTTTTACTTTTTGTGTGCAATAAGTATTCTCTTTTTACTTGGAGCTAGAGATGTAACTCAGTGGTAGAGCAATTGCCTATGTACAAGGCCCTGGGTTGGATCCCTAGCACCACACAAAAATTTTTTAATGTGTATATGTCTAGCATGCTTTTAACCTAGTTAAAGGTCTGAGTCTCTCAAAGAGGGACATGATAACATTTGTATTTTTAATTGTTTTTACCAGAATGGGAGACAATGATGGAGAATGAGGAGGTGACACCAAAGCAGAATATTTCTCAAAGAGCAGACACTCAGAGAGGAACATCAAAAAGACTACGCGAAAGTGTTCCCCAGGTCCTTGACTTTGAGGAAGAGTGTGAATGGCAAGTTTTGCCAAGTCAGTTGGGAAATGAAACTGGGGAAAGAGGAGATACATTGAAGAAAGTTGCCATTTGTGAACGAGACAAGAAGAGAAGGACTCTACTAGAAAAACAGGGCCAGACAGGGAAGGAATTTGGCAAAAACTTGACTTTAGGTTCAGCTATTTCTGAAAGCTTAATTGGTACTGAAGGAAAGAAATTTTATAAATGTGATATGTGTTGTAAACATTTTAATAAAATCTCTCATCTTTTAAACCATCAGAGAATCCACACTGGTGAGAAACCTTATAAATGTAAAGAATGTGGAAAAGGCTTTATTCAGCGCTCAAGCCTCCGGATGCACTTGCGGAACCATTCTGGGGAGAAACCTTACAAATGTACTGAATGTGGGAAAGCATTCTCTCAGAGTGCTTACCTCCTGAATCACCAGAGGATCCATACCGGGGAGAAGCCCTACAAATGTAAGGAGTGTGGGAAGGGCTTCTATAGGCACTCAGGTCTGATTATACATTTACGCCGCCACTCAGGGGAGAGGCCATTTAAATGTAATGAGTGTGGGAAGGTTTTCTCCCAAAATGGATACCTTGTTGACCATCAGAGGCTCCACAAAGGAGAAGAACCTTACAAATGCAACAAGTGCCAGAAAGCTTTCATTCTAAAGAAGAGCCTCATTCTGCACCAGAGAATCCACTCTGGGGAGAAACCCCATAAATGTGATGAGTGTGGAAAAACCTTTGCTCAGACCACCTACCTTGTTGACCACCAGCGACTCCACAGTGCAGAGAACCCTTACAAGTGTAAAGAGTGTGGCAAAGTGTTCATTCGAAGTAAAAGCCTCCTCTTGCACCAGCGAGTCCACACAGAAAAGAAAACCTTTGGTTGTAAAAAATGTGGAAAGATTTTCAGTGCTAAGTCAAACCTCATTGAGCACAAAAGGATGCACAGCCGAGAGAAGCCCTACAAGTGTACTGAGTGTGGGAAAGCCTTCACACAGAGTGCTTACCTCTTTGACCACCAGAGGCTGCACAATGGAGAGAAACCTTATGAGTGTAATGAGTGTGGGAAAATTTTCATTTTAAAGAAGAGCCTCATTTTACATCAGAGGTTCCACACTGGAGAGAACCTCTATGAGTGTAAAGACTGTGGCAAGGTCTTTGGTTCTAACAGAAATCTCATTGACCATGAGAGACTCCACAATGGAGAGAAGCCATATGAATGTCGGGAGTGTGGGAAAACCTTTATCATGAGCAAAAGTTTCATGGTTCATCAGAAACTCCACACCCAGGAGAAAGCATATAAATGTGAGGATTGTGGAAAGGCTTTTAGTTACAATTCAAGCTTGCTTGTACACCGGAGAATCCACACTGGAGAAAAGCCTTTTGAATGTAGTGAATGTGGGCGAGCTTTCAGCTCAAACAGAAACCTCATTGAACATAAGAGAATTCATAGTGGTGAGAAGCCCTATGAATGTAATGAGTGTGGCAAATGCTTCATTCTGAAGAAAAGCCTCATTGGACATCAAAGGATTCACACACGGGAAAAATCTTACAAGTGCAATGACTGTGGGAAAATCTTCAGTTACCGCTCAAACCTGATAGCCCACCAGAGGATCCACACTGGTGAGAAGCCCTATGCATGTAATGAGTGTGGGAAAGGCTTTACCTACAACAGAAACCTTACTGAACATCAAAGAATTCACAGTGGGGAGAAAACCTATGAGTGCCATATATGTAGAAAAGTCCTTACCTCTAGTCGAAACCTTATGGTACATCAAAGAATCCACACTGGTGAGAAGCCTTATAAATGTGGTGAGTGTGGAAAAGACTTTAGTCAGAATAAAAACCTTGTTGTACATCAGAGAATGCACACTGGGGAAAAACCTTATGAGTGTGAGAAGTGTAGGAAATCCTTTACTTCTAAGAGGAACTTGGTTGGCCACCAACGAATCCACACAGGAGAGAAACCGTATGGGTGTAATGATTGTAGTAAAGTGTTTAGGCAAAGAAAAAACCTTACTGTACATCAGAAAGTTCATACAGATGAAAAGTCCTGTGAATGTGAGTCTGGGAAAGAATTCTGTCAGGCATCAAACCTTCATCTTCAACAAAAAATGCATATGGAAGAGGAATTCTGGTTACAAAATACCAGTGAGTCCAACATAGAGGGTCAGAAAATTTAATGGAGGGCTGGAAATGTGGCTTAGTGGTAGAGCACTTGTCTAGCATCTGCAAATCCCTAGGTTCAATCCCAAGCACCACAAAAAAGGAAAAGGTGTAGTATCATGTAAAATACAATGGACTCCTGCAAAGTAATTGTTGGAGGAATTGAGTGGGCAAGGGTTTACTTTTTGAATGTCGGGTGTGGTGGCACATGCCTGTAATCACAGCACTTGGGAGGCTGAGGCAGGAGGATCGTTGTGAGTTCAAAACTAGCCTGGACTACGTAGTGAGTTCATGGCCTGCCTAAAGTGCAGAGTGAGACCTGTCTCAAAAAAAAAAAAAAAAGAAAAAAAAGTTTACTGTTTGAGAGCAACCTAAAAGGAACACTGGATTTAGAATCAGAAGAGCTAGGTTTGGATTCTATGTGTGTGTGCGTGTGTGTGTGTGTGTGTGTGTGTGTGTGTGTGACTGGGGACTGAACCCAAGACTTTTTGCACTGAGCTACATCTCCACCTCTTTTTAAAATTTTTGCCAAGTCACTGATTTGCCCAGGCTGAGCTGAAAGTTGTGATTTTCTTCTTCAGCCTCTCAGAATTGCAGGATGACAGGCATATACCACCATGCCCGACTTAGGTTTGGGTCCTGACTCTTTCCATTACTATGTGATGTTATTAAATCTGCCTCCAAGCCTCAGTCTCTCTGTCAGTCAAATGTTGACATAATACCCCTTGCAAGATAGTTGTGACCATTCAGTAAAGGACCTTTGTGAAGCCATTCACTTGTCAATAAAATTGGGTAGAAGAGGTACAGTCAGAGTCTAGATCATGGTATAATATTTGTTCATTAAGTCATTTATTAGAATGAGGGGGATTCTATGGAATCTCAGATTCTCATTTTTATAAGAGGAAGTACGTTAGCTAACTCTGGAATTCAGTATTGTAAGAAAATATTTAAAATACAGCTGTAAAATGTTAATGTATAATATGTCTACTTTGTTTTTATGGAAAAAATATTAATGGCCAGCCAAGAAATGTTATTTTTCAGTCTTTGAAACTCAGTATATGTAGTGCATCAAAATGGAAGGAAATCTTGTGTTGAACTCTTTGTTCTTAGAGAGAAATCCATAATCCTATCAGCTGAGCTGATGATCTCTGATGCAGTCTCAATTCTTATCCATATTTAATCATCACTTTCATGTGGTAGCTTATTACTCATGAAACAAATTACATTCTGTCCAAGAACGTAATTTATGACACACAGAGCCAAACCCTTCACGTTGTGATGAAGCCAATGCAGAACCCACCCCTGGGAAGCATTGCCCATTAGTCCCTGTGAACCACTCCATTCAAGCTGTGTCCTGTTGTATATTTGCAGGGTAACTCAGCAGATAAAAAATTCTTGAGTTGACAATTTCATATAATCCTTAAAACTCCAGTTTTGAAGCTGGAAAAAAAATGTATATCTCAGGATTGTGTTTTCTCATACTAGTAACATAAAAGTGATAGGTTGATTAAATCTGTGAATTCAGCATCACAGCTTTTTAAGGGCTGGTTCCTCATTAGATTGAAAGGTATCCCAGAGAAAGGGAAGGGGCTCCCAGCTTAAAGTCTTAAGACCCAGCTAAGTCAGGTTTTGTTATTTACCTAGGACAAATCCATTCACTTCTTGGAACCTTGATTTCCTTGTCTGTCAAACAACATGAAAGACACCTACCTCACAAGGTTGTTTTGAGGTAATGAATAAGAAAATGCCTCATATCTCTGCTGCACAAGATTCCCCCAGATCATATAGTAATTACAAGGAACATAAATATTTTAGAAAAGGAAAAAGCTTTTACTTTGTAACCAGTTAACCAAACTTAACATTGATAAGACTGAGCCCACATAATATGCCTCTTCATGTGGTATAATAAGGCAGAAATAAATATTTAGCATAAATTTAATCAAGTTTCTTAGAACTATTTGCCAGTTTACAGGAAATATAGGAGCCAGAGCAAGATAAACGACATGGTAAGCATCCAGCAAATTCAGAACATGGAACATTGTGTAAGAAAATTGGATTATTTATAAAGAAGAAAAGAAAGGGAAATTCTCGTTATTGAAAGTGGGTATGTGTGCTAAGAGTTCACTGTACTGTTCTCTGCTTTTGTGCATCTATGAAATTTTCCATGAGAAGTATAGGAAGTTGATGAGGGAGGTCATTTTTAAAAGATCCTAATGAGACATAAGATTTGAAGAGCCAGGAATAGTCTCACGGTAATGTACAATTGCTTTTGATGGATATGGAAGCAATTCAGTGGAGGAGGGATACTCTTCAACAAGTGCTACTAAAACTAGAAAGACAGGACTATGACTAAGTAATGAACACATAGGTGAACTCTCAGAAACCTTTCATAAAAGGAGGAAAAGTATGTCAGACCTCATCAGAATTAAAATACTTTGCTGTGTAAATAACCCTTTTACGAGGATGAAAACATTATAGAATGGAAGAAAATATTAGCACATCAGTCCAACAAAGAATTTATATCTAGACTACATCAAGAACTTAACAGTAAACATAAGTCCATTTTGAAATGTACAAAGTACACAAAGACATTTCACATATGGATGGCAAATACAGAAATAGAAAGGTGTTTGATATCATTAGCCAGTACAGAAATGCAAAGTAAAGGCATGAAATACAGGGTGCCTTGATTCATGAACCTAATTTGTTCTACAGTTTTAGAAAAGATGGCCACATTTCTGTTTCTGTGGGAATGATAGCTACACTCATGTTTGTCACCTGATGCAGTTTACCAACAAGATTCTGTCATGGCATTCTGTCAGAAAACCAAATTGTTTGCAAACAAATGCACTTGGCAACTGAGGTGTTGGTACTTCTGTGCACCTATGACAACAGCTGGATAAGTCAAGTGATTATACAAATTTTAGCAAGCATGTGGAGAAACATCTCATACACTGCTGTAAAATGGTACAGCAACTTTAGAAAATAGTTTGAAGTTTCTTATAAAACCAAATGTGCACTTAGTATATCTCAGTAATTGCATTCCTGATCATTGTTCCAGGAAATGAAAATTTATATTCACCCTAAAACTTGATGTGAATGTTCATAGCAGCTTTATTCTTCATAGTTAAAACCTTTAGGTAACGCAATTTTTTTTTTATCAGATGGTCAAGTGCTGGTATGCCGATCCCAAGGAATACTTACTAGATTTTAATAAGATGGAATGACCTATTGGCTGTCCCAACCATTAGAATGAATTTCAAGGGAATTCATATTGAGAAAATGTTCATCTCCAAATATTATTTATTGGACTATTCTATTTTCATAACATTCTCAAAATGAGACGATATAGAAATGAGAGACTAATGATTGCCAAAGGTTAGGAGTGGTGGGAGGAAGAAGGAAGAAAGGGTTGGGTGTAGTTGTAAAAGGGTATCACAAAGGAGCTCCTTGTGATGGAACAGTCTAATACCTTGGTTGTGATGGTGGCTACACAAATCTACACAATGTAGTACAATGACAGGATATATATATAATCCGTATTGATGTTGATTTTCTGATTTTGATAAAATGATGTAAGCTGGGCGAAGGGTAGTATCTCTGCGACTTCCTGTGAATTTATTTCAAAATAAAAAGTAAACAACAACAACAAAATCTAGCCATAATTGCGTACTGTGTTGTGAGACTTTCAGGAAAAAGAATTTTTTTTTGAAATACGTCTTAGGACAGTTGGAGAAATTTGAATGTCTGCAGATTAGATGATAATAGGAATTGTTAATTTCCTTATCTGTGATGGTGGTATTAGTTTGGAAAATATTGTATTCTTATTAAGGAATGCGTGTTGAGTATTAGGAATGAAGTGTTTCGCAGTTTACAGCTTGCAAAAAAATGTCATTAAATGTGTAGGGAGAGATGCAGCAAAGAGCAAAATGTTCACTGTTGACCCCAGAGGAGGATACGGGTATTCATTGTATCATTCTTTCAACTTTCCTGCACGTTTGATATTTTCAAAATAAAAGGTTTGCGAGGAAATCAGGGTTTTCCACAGACTACTGTTTTGTGTCTCTCGGCCCCGGGTTAGTCCTCCAAGGACCGCCCCTGCCCGCCTGGGGTTCACACCCGCCTCTCCCCTGGAGCGGTCCCTGCCTCTTACAGACCTAGGAGACTGTGGACGGCCACCGAGAGAGGGGTCCTCCAAGATTTGTAGAAAGGCCCGCCGGAGGCCGGGAACCGGAAGCCTACCGCGACACTTCTTGTCTGCTCATTGTTGTCCGGGAGGCCGGAAACCGGAAGCCTACCGCGACACTTCCTGTCTGCTTATTGTTCTCCCGCCGGCAGGAGAGGTTGTCCTTATCGCTGCCAGCTGCTTTCACGGTAGGTTGTGGGTCTGCTGGGCACTGAGCCGGCTCGGGAGGGAAGAGCCGGCCCTCTGGGACCTGGGCTGCGCGTCGGCAGGCTGTGGGTTGCGGCAGCCCACGTCCTGGCTTCCCCGTGCTGGGGCCGGGCCGTGTGACGACGCGCTGGGAGGCCCGGAGCCACCTGCCCCGGCCTCACCGCGGGAGCCTGGGGTGGAGGGGACGAACGGAGGGCGCGTGCTCCGGGCGGAGGTCCACTGAGCCTCACCAGAAGTCGAGACAGCACGGAAGGCGGCCCTGTCTTGTGACCACTAGATGGGACGGGTGTACGGGCCTCCCGGCCACTGAGGAAAGAATAGCCCTGCAGCCTGGAGAGCTGCCGCAGGAATCTCCAGAAAGTCAGTGCGTCAGAAAATTGTCTTCAGGTTAGACAGGAAATAGAATATGATCGCTTCCAGAGCTGCAAAAGGGGATCTGTAATGTTTAGTACCTTCTTCTAGTAAAACATGCAAACAGAAATAAGAAAAATTTAAATCTCATAATCAGCAAAAATCGTAAAATTATTTGACTCAAAAACTAAAAACAAATAGAACAACCTTGCTGGTTTAGCGCTGATCAGGGGGTCCCACTGGTGGTGGTGTGGCTTGATGTGCTTTGGGAAGGCAGTTTGACAATGTGTACCAACTGTAATTGGTTTATTCTAAGGAATAATGCAGCAGAATAAAGAAGTGTTTGCAGAGACAAAAGAGTTCTAACATTATTAGGAAAATAAACGGGAGGCCCAGGCATGGTGGCACACACTTGTAATCCCACCTCTCAAGAGGCTGAAGCAGGAAGATTTCAAAAGAGAGGAAGGGAGATAGGCTGAAAGGAAAGAAACTGGAAAGATTCAAGACTTCTTTTAATAAAAGGAATGGTTCATAAATGGGATATAGTAGCTGGGATGGTGATGCAAGCCTGTAATCCCAGCACTTGGGAGGCTAAGGCAGGAGGACTGCTGAAAGTTGAGGCCAACCTGGGCTACAAAGTGAGTTCAAGGCCAGCCTGAACTACATAGCAAGACCCTGTCCCCCCAAAATCAAAAAGTAATGAAGAGGGGGCTGGGGATTTAGCTCAGCGGCAAAGCGCCTGCCTGGCAAGCGCAAGGTCGTGAGTTCGGTTCCCGGTACCGGAGAAAAACCAAAAAAAAAAAAAAGTAATGAAGAAATTAAAAAATAAAAGCAGTAAAGCAGGTGACATAAGGTATTTTTTAAAAGTAGGATATAGTTAATTGAATGATAACCATAATTTAGACTTCTGTGCCTGAAAGAGAGATGTATGTACTGTGTATTCGCCGAGTATTTTGAAATGTGGAGTGCGTATGGAATATGGAGTTCATAAACAGTATAGGTTGCTGAACAGTGTAAAAATGCTATCTAAAGTGTGTTTTTTGGAAAAATAAGCAGTTCTTATGAAGCTATATATACATGTATGTAAATGCAGAGAAGAGGAAGGATGGCTACCTCAACTGATAGCTAATTACTCTATGTGTGTGTATGTGTGTGGTTTGTGTGTAGGACATATGTTTAAGTCTATATATTTGGTTTTTTTGTTTGTTTGCTTTTTTTCCCGGTACCTATTATCGAACTCATGACCTTGCTCTTTCCAGGCAGGTTCTGTGCCGCTGAGCTAAATCCCCACCCCTATATTTGTTTTTTGATACTGGGAATCAGTACCAAAAAATCAGTACCAGGTATGCACTGAGCCACAGAACTATATCCCTGGCACAAATCCTTTTTCAAGGAAAGTGAAAATGTATCTCAACCACAAATTATTGTATAGCAATTGAAAATAAGTATGAAGAATGGAAACATGAAAATAATTTTATTGTTTAGTCTTAAGAGTAATACTTGGTCTCAGCCAGGTGTGGTGGTGTACATCTATAATCGCAGCACTCAGGAGGCTGAGGTAGTAGGATTGTTGCCAGTTCAAGGCCAGCCTGGGCTACAAAGTGATCTCAGGGCCAGCCTGAACTACATAGGAGACCCAGTCTCAAAAAGACAAAAAAACTTGGTCTCACAGACATTCAAAAGATGTGGAAAATGTAAAAATCGAACAAAAAGAACCATAAAAACCAGTAGTCATACCATCTGGAGATAACCACCCATTCTTAACATGCGGGTGTTTTTCTTGGGATTTGGATGTGCACTTTTTTTTAATCCTTGGTAATAAAGAAACATATGTGGTTTCTTTTGTTTTTGTTTTGGTCTTTTTGAGGCAGGGTCTCACTATGTAGTTCAGGCTGGCCTTTACCTCACTTTGTAGCTGGCCTCACACTCGCAACCATCCTCCTGCCTCAGCCTCCCGAGTGCTGGGATTACAGGTGTGTGATACCATGCCCAGCTACCTATGTGGTTTTTTGCTTTTGTGGTTTTTTGTTGTTTTTTTTTTTGGAGACAGGGTATCTATATGCAGCTCAGGTTGGCCTTGAGCTCACTTTGTAGCCCAGGCTGGTCTGAAACTCACAATGATCCTCCTGCCTCAGCTTCCCGAGTGCTGGCATTACAGACATGCGCCACCACGCCAGGCCCTATGTGTTTCAACATCCCTTTTAAAAGTCCACTGGTATGTTGTTTGGAAACATGTATTCCCCATAGTCAAAAACAAAAGGTTTGTAGGATCAAAGTATTTTGAGTATAGTTTTGAAGATTTTCCCTTAAAAGAAGTACCTTTACTTCTGCTATATATACTGGTTATTTTTTTGGAGGTAGGCTATGGTTGATTTTTCTTAATCATTTTCTAAATTTTTAAGGCTTTTAAAATTAAATTATGTTAACTTTTAGTGAAAAAAATAATAAGCATTACATAAAGCTATTTGCTATTACATATTTATAGTTCACCTCTTTCTATTTTAGAAAGGAGTAGAACATGTCATATGTATGGTGGTTACATTCCAGACATGGGTGAAATTGGCTAGTGGGCCACCGTGGCATCCAAAGAAATCAATACTTGGTGCTAAGAGTGTTTTCCAATTTTTCAGTAGGCATTGCCCATCCTGGGAAGAAACTCAAGGATAAGCTTTTGAAGCTTATAGGTTCCATGGGGCTTGACCTCTCCTGGGAAACCCCCAGCTACAACAGTTGCCCTGCTGAGCACGAAGATGACTGCAGAATTAAAAGAGGCCATGGCCCTAGCACCTTGGGGCCCAGTGAAGGTGAAAAAGGAGGAGGAAGAGGATGAAAATTTCCTGAGTCAGGCATCCAGCCAACAAGTGCATGCTGAGAACATCAAGGTCTGGGCCCCAGGAGAGGGTCCTCAGCCAGGCCTTGATTTATCAGAAGAGGAGAAAAAGGTAAATGATGGTCTGGAAAGAGAGACCAGAAAGCCTTAAGTAGTTTTCCACAGGGGCTCTGCTCGTCTGCTTCCAATCCCACAGTGTTGTCTTCTGGCTGGGGCTCTGCCATTTAGTCCTTTGGAATGTAGTAGAGATGTTCCTTTCTCACTGATGGCCATTCAGTGCATTCTGTGGCACAGTAGTTGTCAAACGTTGCTATACAGAGCCTAGGGAACTTCTGTGAACTCTTGATGTTCATGCTGTACTCAGTCAAAATCTGAGGGTGAGCCAGGTGTAATGGTGCACACCTGTAATCCCAGCACTTGGGAGCCTGAGACAGATCACTCAAACTTGAGGCCAGCCTGTGCTACATAGTGAGTTCTAGGCCAGCTTGAACTACATGGCGAGGCCCTGTCTCAAGACAAACAAACAGAAACCTGGGGGGTGAGAATTCAATTTCTGCATTTTTAAAAACTATTCAGGTGGGTACAGAGTTTGACAGCTCTAACCAGTACTTCCCAAGCCTTAACCTTAAAGTACATAAGAATCAGCCAGGGGTCTTATTAAACACTGATCTGATTCAGGCCTTCAGTGTGCCCTGAGATTCTGCATTTCTCACAGCTCAGAGCTGCAGGCCACATGCTCCAGAGGATGTGTACCCTATGTTCCTCTGTGTTTTCCAGACTTGCCCTTTATGACCTGCTTTGAAGGGCAGAGGTCCCCAGAGCTGCCTGTAAGAATATGATCAGTATCTTACTTTGATCTTTAAAGCCCAGAACTCTCCTGTGACAAATCTCCTATGTCCGCACTGACAAGTTGAACTTGGATGCTGGAGTGAGCAGTGGGGTGAAATCAAGGTGGCAAGCTTGCTTCTTTGCTCAGCTTTGGCCGGGGGCTTTCTTTTCCTTTTTTAATCATTATTTTTAATGTTTCGTAGGCTCCAGGATAGACACTATGTTCTCACCCTCCAAGCCGTCAGTACACCACCCCCTCCATCAGTCCCCTCGTGAACCACCTATGCCTGCTTGTCTCTAGGGTCACAGCATGTTCTGGGACATGGCAGTGGTCCTAAAAGCAACACAGGAGGCTCCTGCTGCTGCAGCCCTTGGCAGCTGCTCCTTCCCAGGGACTCTGGTGAAGAGTGAGGTGCTGGAGACTCATGGGGACCTGAATTTGCTAGGTAAGGCTCAGCTCCTGGATTCAGAATCTGACCTCTGGGCCTTCTCAGAGTCTCTGCAGACATGCAGGTGGCATCTGGTATCCTAGCTAGAGCAGCAGTGTTGAGCTGTTGAAAGTGCTAGGGAGAGCTGGACAGGGAAGAGTGGGACAGAGGAGTGCTGAGAGAGGCCACCGGAGTGGGCACTGGAGATGGCTTGTTTCACAGTCTCGTGATATCCCATATCCCACAGCTTTTGTAATGACTTAAACTTGAGTACGTTAAAGTACATTTCATATTTCAGAATGCATCTCAGCCGGCGAATACAGCAGGCCTACGTAGCATTTGGAGTGTTTTGTTATTTTTGAGACAGGGTCTCGCTGTGCTGTTCAGGCTTGCCTTGAGTCACTTTGTAGTCCAGCCTGGTCTCAAACACACAACAGTCCTCCTGCCTCAGCCACCTGAGTGCTGGGATTACAGGCATGTGCCACCATGCCTGGCAGATCATTTGATACATTTTTAAAAATAAAAGATGGGCTGTAGAGCATGTATTTAACTTGCATGAGGTCCTGGATTCAATCCCTAGCACATGCAGTTACACACACATTACAAAAAGAAAAATCCCAGTGATATTAGAACTATGACATGTGCTTTCAAGTTAATCATAAATTAATTCTTAATTTATTTCTTCTTTCCTGTACGTGTTAATTTATTTTTCTGGAGTTATAAGAATTCTGTGTGATACCAAAAAGGGAAAAGGCCATTTTAAAGAAGCTGGGGTCCTGGGTTACTTTCTTTGTACCACCTGGCACCCCCATGCTCCCCTTCTTGCTGCAGAGTGGCACTGGCCTGCTCCATGAGGATGTTTCTCCCTCTGGAAGAAATGAGCTGTAGCTTCCAGCTCTACTGCTCTCTTTGAAGCTGGTACCACCAAGCTTGCCTCCCATACCTGCCTTCCCGAGTAGTTTCTGGAGCTTGGTTGAATTCTCCACACTTAATGTGCACTTGACCAACACTTGGCACCTCAGGGGCACATCCCAGGGCCGCACGTGTTGTGGGTGGAGAGGGAAGGAGCCTAAAGAACTGTGACGTTACTGACATCAGGACCCATGTTGACGCCATGCGGGAGCTTCAGCCATGCATTGCAACCAGAGACTAATCTGATTTCTAAAACTTCAGAATGCTTTGGTATTTTCATGATGTTTTCTGGCAACATGGAACAGGCACTGTCTTCATTTAGTAAGCTCAGCTCTCTTTGACACAGTACTAAGCTGTCTTGACACTAAGGTCAGGGTTTACTGTGTTCAGTTTCCTTTTTAATCACTGCTGCCGCAGCTATCTCCATAGTGACTCCCATTCCCAAGGGTTCATCTCTTCTGTCTGCTCCTACTTCTCTACCCTCACCAGTCAGGCTGAAAGCACTGCAGACCCCAGAGTATTTAATCTGAGCAGCTGACGTGGAGTCACTCCTTTAATCCACTTCCAGCTTTCTGAGGCAGATAGATATTATCCCTGTTTCAGAGATGAGGCAACTGAGGCACAGAGAAGTTAAGTAGCCCAAAGTCATGGAATTGGTTAGTGGTAGAGCAGGGATTTGAAGCCAAGCACTGTGACTCCAGAATCCTTGTTCTTAACCTCTGTGCCAGGCAGCTTCTCACTGTTTAAAATGCTGTTTGCATCCATTGTAACCGTTTTTCCCATACCTATGCTATTTTTGATACCCAGCATCTTCAGTTGCTCAGTTGGCAGGTCTTCCTTCACAGGCAGGGGCTCTCCCTAATGACTAGATGGGTTATAAGCAAATCTACAATAGTAGCTCAGGTAGGAAGGCAAGCCCCAGAAAAGGCGATGTCCTTCATAACTGGGTTTAGTTCGAGATACATCATCAGATAACCAGGAAAAGTGCAGTCTAGAGATTGGCTTCCGTAATGTGAGGTTGAGGGTTGTATCTCATGAAGGTAAGTGGAATGCCCAAGAGACCATGGGTTAGTGCTCTGCCAGGTGTGTGCAGGGAACAGGCCCTGCAGAAGAAGCTTCATGGTGGGTGTGATGTGAAGGGATTCCTTCCTTTAATAAAACCCATTTGCAAGGGTGTTGAAGTCACATACTTCCTGACCTTTCAGACTTGATGACCCTGTTTCCTTTCTAGGCCACAGAAAGCTTAACATTTGTATTTTGTATTTCTTGGTTTAGGTGCCGAAACCAAGAACGTACAGTTACTTGTTCCCAAAACTGAAATGTGTGAAGAAGCTGAAAAACTCCTCATACTATCAGGAAGAATACGGAAAACTGACCCTCAGGAACCTGAGTTAGGAGATGCCTGTGAAAAAGGAAACATCTTAAAGAAGCAGAGAATAAAGAGGGAGAAGAAAAGCTTCAGACAAGTGACAGTGAAGGACTGTCAGTTGCCTGAAAGCTTCAAAGAAGAGGATGACCAGAAATGTAAGAAATCTGGGGGAAGATACAGCCTTGGTTCTGGATCTGTTAAAAGTCAGAAAATCCCTCCTGGACAAAAGCCTTTTACATGTAGTGTGTGTGGTAAGGGCTTTAGTCAGAGTGCAAACCTTGTTGTGCATCAGCGAATTCACACGGGGGAGAAACCCTTTGAATGTCACGAATGTGGGAAGGCCTTCATTCAGAGTGCAAACCTTGTTGTGCATCAGAGAATCCACACTGGACAGAAACCATATGTGTGTGCAAAATGTGGGAAAGCCTTCACACAGAGTTCCAATCTGACTGTACATCAGAAGATCCACTCCTTAGAAAAAACCTTCAAATGCAGTGAATGTGAGAAAGCCTTTAGTTACAGCTCGCAACTTGCCCGGCACCAGAAGGTCCACATTACTGAAAAATGTTACGAGTGCAACGAGTGCGGGAAAACGTTTACTCGGAGCTCAAACCTCATTGTCCACCAGAGAATCCACACTGGGGAAAAGCCCTTTGCCTGTAATGACTGTGGCAAAGCCTTTACTCAGAGTGCAAATCTTATCGTACATCAGCGAAGCCATACTGGTGAGAAGCCATATGAGTGCAAAGAATGTGGAAAAGCCTTTAGCTGCTTTTCACACCTTATTGTGCACCAGAGAATCCACACTGCAGAGAAACCATATGACTGCAGTGAGTGTGGGAAAGCCTTCAGTCAGCTGTCTTGCCTTATTGTCCATCAGAGAATCCACAGTGGAGACCTTCCGTATGTGTGTAATGAGTGTGGGAAGGCTTTCACATGTAGCTCGTACCTACTTATTCACCAGAGGATCCACAATGGAGAGAAACCTTACACCTGTCACGAGTGTGGCAAGGCCTTCAGGCAGAGGTCGAGCCTCACTGTGCACCAGAGGACCCACACTGGGGAGAAGCCTTACGAGTGCGAGAAGTGCGGTGCAGCGTTCATTTCTAACTCGCACCTCATGCGACACCACAGAACCCATCTTGTGGAGTGACATGCTGAGGAAGAGGAAGACCTCCAGCTGTTGGCCATAACCTGCAAACCCCCAAAGACACCAGGTTATTTTCTTCCAGTTTTTTAAGAATGAAGCCTATGTCCTTTAAAGTTTTCAGCATAAGTGTTTCAAAGGTTAAACAATGAAAACTGAGCCCCTTAAGGCAAGGCAAGAACTTTGTTGTAACTGTTCGAAGCCGTAGTGTTTTCTGAAATGGAATGTGGCATTCTTAGGAATAGGTCATACAAAGCTAACTGATAATGAGCCTATTTGGGGGAAGGTCTTGTTTACTTAATTTTGTTTTATAAAATGTAATTGCTTGAGGAACAGGCAAATTGTCAGCCTGGTTGAGTTCTGGAGATTTGAACCTTTGTTCTAGTATTTCAGGTTAAGTGATGATTAAGTACAGGAAACCACTTGGGGTAGTAGTTGAGCGGTCCACCTGTGAACATTTGTAACCGTTCACTTCGTACGTAACTTGTAAGAAGCCAATCAAAGCAGAACAAACAAAACTGTTAACCATCTGCTGCTCCTAAATGGACAGAAATAGGAAAGAGCCTTTTCCTCATCTATACCTCTGGAACCTTGGGATTGTAAAACTCTGGGACCCCTGGCAAGCTTGTTCTGACCATTCCCTAGTTTGCTTGGCCAAGTGCTTGAGGATTGACGGAGTTACTACATACCAGCTACATTGATTTGCTAAGGTTGACAACTCCTCCCAACAGCTCCACTTCCCAAATACCCACCACATTCCTTTTGGGTTAGATGCAACTAACAGCTCCAGGATAGAAGAGTCAAAGAATAAAGCTTGCCTGAGATATGCACAGGTTGTCTCTGCTCTTATTATGCTCCACCCCAGCTAGGGACTTAGGGTGGGTTTCACTCCTACATTCCAGGTGGTGTTTGGAAGAAATGGTGGAGCTCTTCTAATTCTGAGAGGACGATGTAAAGGGAGAGGGAGGAAGTGGCGTGGGATTCCTAAGGTCTTAATTTGTCTTACAAGCAGTGCAGTGGTGTTGGGATGTGAGAGCTTTTACAAAGATGAGGAAACTGGCTAAGTAAGATATTTTTGTCACCAGTGAGCCTTTACTCCTAGAAAAATGATTTATAAAACTATGCAATAGGTAAGCCTGTAATATCGCCTTCTATTTATATAGAACTTTCATGTGTACACTCATGTACAGAAAGATGATACCTGGCATTATCTCTTGCTTTCCCTTAGACCCTCACCTTCATCTTCACACCACAGAAGTGTTTTCTCATTTACTTATGAATGTCCTCTAATGCAAGGCCAAGTAATCACGTATCCGAGCTTGTATCCAGGACCTCCTGCTCCCTCAAACTGTAATCCCCATCCAGGCCTGGAGGGAGCCTGAGAAAGGGATCTGCAGTCTCATGTTTAAGTGAGGAAGCTGAGGTGGTAGATCCAGGGATTTGCCTTTGGCAGTGTGACCAGAAGGAGCAAATCTAAGACTGGAATGTGGGTTTCTTGACTTGTAGATCTGTCTTGTACACTCTATTCCCAGTGTCTGAGCAAGCAAGAGCAATGTAAGATGCTGAGCCTGGTGATAAACTGGGCTGCTGTCATGCGGAGGATGGGGCATTTGCTGTCTCATATCTGCTAGACTGTTAATCAGTGTTTTCTAGTTTACATAGTGCTTTCACAAACAGAAGGCATACAGAAGAAAGCTAATTTTCCTCTCGTTTTTCCCTTCAACCACATTCTTTCCAAAGCATGCAACTTCATTTCCTAGGTTCATTATATTCAGACGTAAATACAAGAAACAAGGATTCAAAAGTAGGCATTAAGAAATTACATCTTGGACTGGGGATTTAGCTCAGTGGCACAGCGCCTGCCTGACAAGCGCAAGGTTGTGAGTTCGATTCCCAGTACTGGTATACTTTTTTTGTTTTGTTTTGTTTTGTTTTGTTTTGTTTTTTCTCCGGTACCGGGAACCGAACTCACGACCTTGTGCTTGCCAGGCAGGCGCTTTTGCCGCTGAGCTAAATCCCCAGCCCTGATTCCCAGTACTGGAAAAAAAAAAAAAAAAATTACGTACTTGCTGACCCTGACAGTTAATGTCTCCTGTCTGCAGTTTAGGGCTGGAGAGATTCAGGGATACCACCTGTGTCTCCCTGACATTAGGAACAAGTTAGATGTGTCCCATCTGCCCCCCTCTCATCACATGACCTGGCAGCTCAGAATATCAGAACAAATTAGGATTGGGTGTGGTGCTGTGCACTTCATCTGCCAAGATCCCAGTCTTTACTGAAGGATTTGTGGCCATTAAGATCCTTCATATGTTTTGACTTCGCATGAATATTGAGTCACTCATGGATAATTGTAATATATTGGCTTATGTTCTCATTCATATGTAGAAAGCTACTCAAGTGATTCTGATGCTAATTTGGGGGATCACTGACCAACTGAAGTACAGTAGTGGTTTTCAAGCATGGCTGCGTGTTAGAATCATCCAGGGTTCTTTAAAAAATGTCCATCCCCAGGTCTTCGTGCTTTTTAAAACTTGGGAAGGAATTACAGTGTACAGCCAGGTATGAGCCACTGTAGTCAAAACCTGCAGGCTGACTGTGTGTTCGAGCAGAGATGTGGAGGGAGCTCTGTGTGTACCGAGTGTGTTCCGAGTTTCACCAGAACAGGACATTTGTTCTACCTTGCATGGACTCAGTGTCCCTCAGTGCCCTTGCCAACATGTAAGTGTTTGGATTCTGTGACCTAACTTATTTGTATTAAAGTGAATTCACTGAATTCTTTGTTACAATTTTTTACATTTCTGCTAGTACTTCCACTTGATCTGGGTTTCCACAAACCTGTATTCAGGTCAGGACCTCCGAACCTTCCCAAATCGTGTGAACCAAGTAGATTACTAGACAGATGGGCTCATTCCTAAACTAGTAACACCTCTTCCCAGTTACAATGCTCAAACTATAGCATGTCATTTTCCTGACAGTTTCTAGTAGGAGTGACTCCTGTTGCTGACACTGGCATCGGTTTACCTATGCTTTGGTTTATCTCCTTTCTTGGCTGGTCTTCATTAAAATGAAGAATGGGAACTTGAAAACTTGACTGCCTAAAGTTGCTGAGAGTTAGCAGATTTCACTGTCAAAGATCTTTGTGCCATACCTAGTGATTGGCATTAAGAGTAGAGCCAGCAAATATGTCTGTACCCTCTATTTAGACCAAAGGAGTTGCTTTAGTTGGCACAGAGTGAGGTATAACTGATCTTGAAATCATCTGTTGTGCTTTGAGAGCACAAGAGAAAGACTATCAACCCCTGACGCATGCATGTACAGACCTACTCAATTAACCACAAATTCCTCCCGATTCCACCAGAGGTGTCTGGTCAAAGCTGACCTGCTTCTCACTCACGAGCTCCCCCATCCAGTGTACCTGCATTTCAGCCCCTTTGGCAACTTGGAGGTTGTAGACGCTGTCCCCGAAATGCACCTTGCACCTTTGTGCTCTTTTGAAGGACATACAGCCTCCCTGAAGAAAATCCATGCATCTTCTAAAGCCTAAAGTCCCATACAAGGTTGGACTACATAATTACCCATGACATTGTCAAAAACTGATCAGATTACAGTATCTCTTAAATGTTGCCCGGACACTAACTTTGACTCTTGCTTCTCAAGACTTTTCTCATCAAATGAAGGCATTACCTCCACCGCTTGGTGCACCCTGATATCCAGGAGGCATTTCAGGCTTCTGTGTATCATTCATTCACCATAAAAATCAGGTGCCTTGTCTTTGTGGCACACGTACCAGATCCCAGAATGCTGAGCCAAGAATGGCAGGATCCCTTACGGCAATTCCCTAAGCATTTCATAATCCCTTTCCAGCATCATCTCTGCACCTCCAGTGCACCTTCTGCAGCCTAGAGTAGTGAGGGCAAACCTTTTAGAACTTCATGGTAACAGCCCTCTGTAGCATGCGTGCTCTAGGTTTACCACAACTGGCCCAGAGCCACCAAGCTGCTTTTCCTAGTGCCTTTGCCCACACTTTGCTCAGTGCCATAAATACCTCACCACCACTTCCCAGCCAGCCCATTCCCATTTCCCTACTGGGGTTGTAAGATTCGCTTCGAGTCCATCTCTGGAAAACCTCTGCCCTGTGGCCAAGTGTGTATTGAGAAGTAGAGGATTTATGAAACATGATAATGGTGTGTAGAGTTTTTTTTTATTTTAAGAAATAAAAGAAGGAAAACATTAACAAACACATCCATTTGCAAAATAGCATAAGAACAATACAAACAAAACAGTTACAGACAAAATTGTAGGAAATTAACAATGGTTGTTGTATGTAGAGTTTTTTTTATTTTGAAGAATAAAAGGAGGATAACAATAAATAATAGGGGGGACTTAGCAAATTACAGACAAAATAGTAGGAAATTATCAATGGTTATCGTTTTACATATTA